AAAAACCTACAACAACCCATGTCCAACGTTACCTTGAGAAAGAGACAGTTAAAGCAATGCCAAAAATAAAACTTCATACCTTGTGAACAATGATGTATTGGGGAAAACAGGAGAAGCTTTCCAAGAAACAATTAAAGCTTTCAGTCTCATTACCTCTGAGGATGCTTGCCACAGATGCAGGCGAAACGTCAGGAGAAAAATTGCCTCCAGAACATGGCCATATAGCCCAGAAAAACCTACAACAACCCACTTTCAGTCTAACTTTTCTCTTCACAAACAAAATTAATACTCTAATCTCCAGTGTAGAAACCCTTGGAAATAAATGCCATTGAAATTAAAGCAATTTATTCCTAAGTAAACACAGCGAGGATGAAGCTTTTAGCTCTCCTCCTGTCTTTTAGGAGCAAAAACCCATTGTGGGCCTTGGTCATGGCACCAAAGTCTTGCAGTCTTTCCATCCTATTTGGAATTAGAATATAAGATTATGAGTAATGGCACACCCCATCTCGCAGGGCTATGCATGGACTTCTTCAAACCACATTGCTGAACAGGCTGAATCATAGCATCCTCTATTCTTCACCTCCCCCTCCATTTTTCTTCTTCTTTTTTCATTCTTTATGGTTACCTTTTTGCAAAAGCATCAGAATTTATTCCCTGGAGTGAGCAGAGAGAGTTCAATAAACAGCACTTTCTCCCAGAATTAAGGATTAACTCTTAGCTCCCCCTAGAGGACAGAAGGAGGCAGAACAGTTTCTTGAAGAGAAGCTAAAAGTTACTGTATATACTCGAATATAAGCCAAGTTTTTCAGCTCTTTTTTAGGCTGAAAAAGCCCCCCTCAGCTTATACTCAAGTCTAGGTTATTTATTATTTTATTATGTTATTATTTTTCTTACATTTATTATTTTACTCTATTTATTATTATTATTACATTATTTTACTCTATTATTTTTATTACATTTGCACTATTTTACTCTATTATTATTATTACATTTATTCTTTTACTCTGTTTATTATTGTTATTACATTTGCATTACTTTGCTCTATTATTATTATTTTTATTACATTTATTTTTTACTCCATTATTATCATTATCATTATTATCATTATTACATTACTCTATTATTATTACATTTATTATTTTACTCTATTTATTATTATTATTACATTTGCATTATTTTATTTCTTTGTTTATTTTATTTCAAAGTTTTATATACCGACCTTCTCACCTCTTTGAGGGACTCAGACCAGTTACCAACCATAAAAACACATACAATCGGTAAAATATCAAGGTTCATAATTACAGTAACACATTAAAATAACAAATATATTTAAAACTACAGTGGTCAGTCGTCATACTAAAATCGATTATACATCATCTTCCATCCAAATCTTAGGGTGTTGTCTCATTCATCGAAAGCCTGTCTCTATAACCACGTCTTCACCTGTTTCCTAAATGTCAGGATAGACGGGGCGGTTCTGACCTCCGGTGGGAGAGAGTTCCAGAGTTGCGGGGCCACCACCGAGAAGGCCCTGTCCCTCGTCCCCACCAGACGCACTTGTGAGGCCGGTGGGACCGAGAGCAGGGCCTCTCCAGACGATCTTAATAATCTTGATGGTTCATAGGGGAGAATACGTTCGGAGAGGTAAACAGGGCCGGAGTCGTTTAGGGCTTATTATTATTTTTACAAATTTCACTTATTCTATTATTATTATTATTATTTGTTATTATTATTACATTTATTATTTACTATTATTATTTTATTATATTTATTATTATCTTATTGTTGTTGTTATTATTATTATTATTATATTTGCATTATTTTACTCAATTATTTTTTATTACATTTGCATTGTTTTACTCAGCAAGTATAAGTCTCAACAGGTGGAAGTAGATAAGGCATCATCCCCAGACCCTGGTGGAGTGCGTAGGTCCTAAAAAAATACCCCACTATGTAAAATACTGATGCCATTTTTTGCCAGACATATTAAAAATTAACTGGGCATTTTTATTAGGAGCAGAATTCAAAATGATCTGAACAGATTAGAGAGATGGGCCAAAACTAACAAAATGCAGTGAAAAATGCAGATTACTCCACTTAGGCAGAAAAAACGAAATGCAAAGATACAGAATGGGGGACAATGCCTGGCTCGAGAGCAGTACGTGTGAAAAAGATCTTGAAGTCCTCATGGACAACAAGTTAAACATGAGCCAACAGTGTGATGCGGTGGCAAAAATAAAAGCCAATGGGATTTTGGCCTGCATCAATAGGACACTACTATCTAAATCCAGGGAAGTAATGCTACCCCTCTATTCTGCCTTGGTCAGACCACACCTGGAATATTGTGTCCAATTCTGGGCACTACAATTGAAGAGAGATATTGACAAGCTGGAATGTGTCCAGAGGAGGGTGACTAAAATGATCAAGGGTCTGGAGAACAAGCCCTATGAGGAGCGGCTTAAGGAATTGGGCATGTTTAGCCTGAAGAAGAGAAGGCTGAGAGGAGACATGATAGCCATGTATAAATACGTGAGAGGAAGTCATAGGGAGGAGGGAGCGAACTTGTTTTCTGCTGCCCTGGAGACTAGGACACGGAACAATGGTTTCAAACTAAAAGAAAAGAGATTCCTGACTGTGAGAGCCGTTCAGCAGTGGAACTCTGCCCGGAAGTGTGGTGGAGGCTCCTTCTTTGGAAGTTTTTAAACAGAGACTGGATGGCCATCTGTCGGGGGTGCTTTGAATGCAATTTTCCTGCTTCTTGGCAGGGGGTTGGACTGGATGGCTTATGAGGTTTCTTCCTTCCAACTCTTTGATTCTATGGTTTAGCACTGAAAGAACTAGTAGGCCAAAGCCTGTTAGAATCAGTGGATCCAAGCTAGTGTCATCCTGAGAAGAGTGAGTAGGCCAAAGCCTGTTAGAGTTAGTGGTCCAAAGCTGGTGTTGTCCTGAGGAGTGTGAGGTAAACCGCTGTGTGAGAGAAACCTCACGTGAGTAAGCTCCAGTGTGAATGTTCCTGTGTCTAAAGCTACTATGTATTTGTTTATGTGTGTTATGGAAACCTAGTTCTTGTAATAGTACAACTATATTATTTTACTACAAAGAAAAGCATCCTAAAGAAGAGATAATATTGGTCTGTGTGTTTTTGTTCTTTTTATCACTTTGGGCTACTAATGCTGCTAATAAGTTACTCTGCTGTACATTTATGAGGAGGGTCTTTTGTTAATAAGCCCACTCGGCCAACATTTTTTCCTCTGTAACATTGGCCAGTCTTATAGCCCCTTTGTTCCCTGTTCTGAAAACAACCCATTCAATAACTTTGTATGTGTGTTGTTGTTGTTGTTGTTGTAGGAACCGCCTCTGTTGCAGTAGCTGGAATCTTTGCAGCCTTGAGGATCACAAAGAACAAGCTTCCTGACCACAAATTTGTCTTCCAAGGAGCCGGAGAGGTAGGGTTCGCGTTCCTTTGAGGGAAGGCCAAAGAAAATCGCCACGTTCCCTGTGCTTTCTGAAAACAAGGCACAATAGAGCAGAAATGTCCAAGCACTGAGGTTGTTGTAAGCCTTACGGGCAAGGATCATTCAGAGCAGCTTTCCCTGCAGGCTGGTCTTGCAGAAGGAGATTGCACAGCTGTGAGGGAAATGGCCCAGAACGACCCTTGTGTTTACCACTTGGTAATGAGACTGCATTTGTGCCAAATCCCAAAAAGAACCAAAGACCCTGCAGAGTTTTCGTAGAAAAGGAGAACTGATCAATGGCAGCCTATTGGCTTTTGCACTGGCTTCTGTTTTGTCTAGCCCAGTGTTTCTCAACCTTCCTAATGCCGCGACCCCTTAATACAGTTCTTCGTGTTGTGGTGGCTCCCAACCATAAAATTATTTTCATTGCTACTTCACAACTGTAATTTTGCTACTGTTGTGAATCATCATATAAATATCTGATATGCAGGATGTATTTGATACAAATACGCGATATGCCCACATTTAAATACTGGCGGTGTTGGGGTGGGGGGATAATTGATTTTGTCATTTCAGAGTTGTAGTTCCTGGGATTTATAGTTAACCTACAATCAAAGAGCATTCTGACTTCCACCAATGAGGGAATTGAGCCAAACTTGGAACACAGAACTCCCATGACCAAGAGAAAATACTGGAAGGGTTTGGTGGGCATTGACCTTGAGTTTGGGAGCTGTAGTTCACCTACATCCAGAGAGCACTGTGGTCTCAAGCAATGATGGATCTGGACCAAACTTGGCACGGATACTCAATGTGCCCAAATGTGAACACTGGTGGAGTTTGGAGGAAAATAGACCTTGACATTTGGAAGTTGTAGTTGCTGGGATTTATAGTTCACCTATAATCAAAGAGCATTCTGGACCTCACCAACGATAGAATTGGGCCAGATTTCCCACATGGAACCCTCATGACCAACGGAAAATACTGTGTTTGCGTGTATATGTGTGGTTTTGTGCATGTGTTGTAATGTTTTTTTTTTTGGCTTTTTAAGTGCCTTCTGCTGTTTTTTTCAGTATTTTTATAAGTGATGGTCACTTGATGGCCTGTATTGTGTCCAAATTTGTTGTCAATTCGCCCAGTGGTTTTTGAGTTAAGTTAATCCCACAAACTAACATTACATTTTTATTTATATAGATACTAGCTGTCTCCTGCCATGRGTTGCTGTGGCCCAGTCTGTGTATATGTGTTTTGTGTGTGTATATATTTGTGTATATGTGTATATATGTGTGTTTGCATATGTATGTATGTATGTATGGTTTTGCACATGTGTTGTAATGTATTTTTTTATTTTTTGGCTTTTTAAATTTRTTCTACTGTGTTTTTCAGTGTTTTTATGAGTGATGGTCACTTGTTGGCTTGATAAGTGAATTGTGTCCAAATTTGGTGTCAATTCGACCAGTGGTTTTTGAGTTATGTTAATCCCACAAACGAACATTACATTTTTATTTATATAGACAGGTATATATATTGACTTTTCCCAACTTCAGCATCTTGGAGGCTTTTATACTCAGTTCTGGCCATGGGGGGAGGGGGGGCTGTCACTCTATCTCCCTGCCGAAGAGCTTGTTTGTAACTTCCTCCTTTTTGATCGAATTGCCAGCATTCCTTATGGGTTTATTTATTTATTTATTTATTATTTAAACTTATATGCCGCCACTCCCCTGGGGCTCGGAGCGGCTTACA